CGGGTCCCAGGGGATCAACAGGGCGGGCGGAGCGAGCAGTTATGGCTGCTCTCAGTCCTGCCTTCAGGGGCCCCGCTTCTCAGTGTCCCAGCAATTGCTGCAAGTACCTCTGAGAGAAAGCTGCCCTCGAGTTCAGACCGATGCCAGACAGTCCCGCTTCTACCGTATGAGTCTGGGTCCCCAGAGACTCGCCTGGAACTGGAGCTCAGAGCCTGAGTCTCCCTCCCGATTGAAAAAAGACAACTGCGCCCTCAGCCACCAGCCCGCTCCACATGCGCCTCTGTACCTTAGTATTTTACTTTCGCACCACACCTCCTCTGAGTCTCGGTATGCTTTTCTCTTTCCTTCTAGTTGTAGAATTTCCACTCAGCCAGCCTTCCTGTGGTTCTGGGTGATGTCCGTTCCGTCTTTTAGTTGTATTTTTGAAGTGGTTGTGCGAGGCAGCAAACTCCGGTGTTTACCTATGCCACCATCTTGGTTTCTCCCTATAAAACTTTAGATGAGGCTTGAGGCATAACTTAAACTATATGTAGGCAATAAAGAAACACAATAATGAGATGTTTGATTTCTCAACAGTTCAAAATAGAATGTGATGCTTGCAGGAGCACAGAAACACCTGCCTAAAGTAACTGGTGTCCAGGCCACAGAACCCTAACAGTATCATCCTGTGACCTCCCTTTGTTCTTTTTTATTTTTATTTTTATTGATTTCAGAGAGGAAGGGAGAGAGAGAGAAACATCAATGATGAGAGAGAATCATTGACTAGCTGCCTCCTGCACGCCCCCTACTGGGGATCAAGCCTGCAACCTGGGCAGGTGCCCTTGACCAGGAATCAAACGGTGTGTGTGTGTGTGTGTGTGTGAGACCAGGAATTGAATGGTGTGTGTGTGTGTGTGTGTGTGTGAGAGAGAGAGACCAGGAATCGAAGGGTGTGTGTGTGTGTGTGTGTGTGTGAGAGAGAGAGACCAGGAATCGAAGGGTGTGTGTGTGTGTGTGTGTGTGTGAGAGAGAGAGACCAGGAATCGAAGGGTGTGTGTGTGTGTGTGTGTGTGTGAGAGAGAGAGACCAGGAATCGAAGGGTGTGTGTGTGTGTGTGTGTGTGTGAGAGAGAGAGACCAGGAATCGAAGGGTGTGTGTGTGTGTGTGTGTGTGTGAGAGAGAGAGACCAGGAATCGAATGGTGTGTGTGTGTATGTGTGTGTGAGACCAGGAATCGAATGGTGTATGTGTGTGTGTGTGAGAGAGAGAGACCAGGAATCGAATGGTGTGTGTGTGTGTGTGTGTGTGTGTGTGTGACCACATTGTTTATCCATTCATCTATGGATGGACACTTTAGGTTGCTTTCACGTTTTAGCTATTGTAAATAATGCTGCTATGAGTATGGGTGCATATAACTTTTAGAATTAATGTTTTGTTGTCTTTGACTAAACACCCAGAAGTGGACTCGCTGGTTCAGATGGGAGTTCTATTTTAAATTTTTTGAGGAACCTCCATACTGTTTTCCATAGTGGTCGCACCAACTTGCAGTCGCACCAACAGTACACAAGGGTTACTCCACCTCCTCACCAGCACTTCTCTCTTGTCTTTTTGATGGTAACCATTCCGACAGGCATGAGGTGATATCTTACTGTGGTTTTTGATTTGTTTATTATTATTATTATTCTTCACCCAAGGATATTTTTCCATTGGTTTTTAGAGAGAGTAGAAGAGAGAGGAAAAGACAGAGAGAGATATCAATGTGGAAGAAACACATCGATTGGTTGCCTCCTGCACAAGCCCCGACCAGGGCCCGGGCCGGGGAGGAACCTGCAACCGAGGTACATGCCCTTGACCCGGAATCAAACCCGGGACCCTTCAGGTTGCAGGCCAACACTATCCACTGGGCCACACTGGCCAGGGCAATGTGGTTTTTGATTTGTATTTCACTGATGGTTAGGGATGCTGAGCCCCTTTTCATCGGGCCTGTTGGCCATCTGTCTGTCCTCTTTGGAGAGATATCTACTCAAATCCTTTGCCCATTTTAAAATGGGATTGTTTGTTTTCCCGCTTGATCCCGTGGTGTGGTAGTTTTAATGTATTGCTGAATTCAGTTTGCTAACATTTTGTTGAGAATTTTGCATCTATGTTCATCGGGGATGGTCACCTGTACTTTTCTTTACTTGTGGTGTGTCTGTCTCATTGTGGGACCAGGGTAATGCTGGCCTCGGAAATGAGTGTGGAAATGTTCTCTCCTCTTCTATTTTTTGGGGGAAGATTTTAGGAGTATTGGTATTAATTCTTCTTTTAATAGCCTTAACCAATGAACTCATCTGGCCCTGGATTTTTGTTTGTTTAGAGCTTTTTGATTACTGATTCAACCTCCTTACTAGTAATGTCTGTTTACACGCTCTACTTTTTCAGATTCAGTCTTGGTAGGTATATGTTTCTAACAATTTTGACTTTGCTGTTTTGAAAGTGAAGTTAAGGGCAATAAATGTGAGTTGTGGCTAGTTCATTATTATTCACAACTCCCACGGTACTAGAATGGATGACTTTGATGAGTAGTAATACTAAATGGCTTTTAGAAATGCCAGGGAGAGAAATAAGTCAGAGGAAGACAAAATACTGTATGATTTCACTTCCAGGATAGGTAAAATTTAAAAACACAAAACGCATAGAAAAAAAGAGATCGAATTTGTGGTTGTCAGAGGTGGGGGGTGGGGGATGTGGGAGTGGGTGAAGATAGTCAAAGGAAAAAACTTTTAAAAAAATATATTTTTAACATGATTTTAATGTGAAACCCCCTATTCTTTAAATCCAGGAAAAAAATTTATTTTTATTGATTTCAGAGAGGAAGGGAGAGTGAGAGAGAGATAGAAACATCAATGATGAGAGAGAATCATTGCTCAACTGCCTCCTGCACGCCCCACACTGGGGATTAAGCCTGCAACCCGGGCATGTGCCCTTGACTGGATTCTAACCCGGGACCCTTCAGTCCACAGGCTGACGCTCTATCCACTGAGCCAAACCGGCTAAGGCAGGAACAAACTTCTTATAAGATAAAAGATAAACAAGTCTAGGGGATGTACAACATGATTTAGAGAAAAGAAAGAAAAAGAGAGAAGGAAACGTCCAGAAATGTAGCTGGGGAGCTGGTTGGGGACGTGGACAGCCCCGTGGAGAGTGGCAGGTGCCCGGGGAAGGCCCCGGGGCCGTTCTGCTGGGCTGCGCTATGCCCTCAGGACGGGACGTGGCCGTGTCCTGCCGCAGGGGTGTGACAGGACGTTCTTCAACGCCGGCGTGCAGTTTGCCAACATGGACCTCCTGCTGCACTTCCTCAACACTCAGGCCTCCCAGCTGGGCATCACGGTGGAGTACGCCACGCTGGGCGCCTACTTCCGCGCCGTGCATGCCCACAATGCCACCTGGCGCACACATGGCCACCAGGACTTCCTGCCCTACTCCTCAGGTACCCGCCCGGGGGGTGTGTGGCAGTTTGGTGCCAGGGTGGTGCCCCCCTCAACGTCTGCTCTTCCCATCTGGGAGGCTGGCCCGGCCCCCACTCCCGGTCCCCATGGCCATCCTGGCTGCCACACCCACAGCCCGGCTCCTGGCGCTGCCCGCACAGCAGTTCCTGCCTCCGTGCCTTACACTTGCGGGCTTCCCGGTGGGAGGCCCCCGCCCGTCTCTTCTGGCACAAGTTCCACTCGTCTGTGCCGATGTCCCTCCTCCCGGAAACCTTTCCCGACATGGAGGCCGGGCCAGGGGGTTTCCCTTCCATTCTCCACGGTCCTGCTCGGGGGCCCGATGCTTCACGCCTGTGTC